GAGGCAACGGATGGAGCGGCTCTTTCACTGGCCTCCCCCCACCCCCACCCTACAAAATTCTTCAACATGCAACAGCAGCAAAAGACCTTGGACTCGAGTGACTATTCTCTGTCCAGCTGCGGAGAAGACTGTGAAAGTTAATGAAACAAAGCTTCAAAGTCTGATAGTCAAAGAGCCCAGCAGTTGTTGCCACTGGGGTGCGGATGGGCCGAGGGACAGACAGTCCAAAATGGCACTACCCTCCCATAAAAAGATGAGTAAAGCACTGACACATGCTCATTCATTCTGAAAAAAAGGGAAAAGAGGGAAATTTTGTTTACAGTTTTAAACCACATCAAGTTCTTTAATTTTATTTTCTGTTTGAGGAAAAAACAAAGCTTTTTGGTCTCTGCGACAACGTTTTTCAGTCATTTTAGGCCTCACATGCGGGAAAGCCTTTAATTTTGACTTTTGGKTTTATTTACACTATTTGACAAAGACTATATTGGTTTGTTTTGATTACTATTGTTCACTGAACAACAGTGCTAGCTCTGTTTGTCTATCTTTTCCTTTTTGTGACTAATTTCTGGCTTTAAAGGTGCACCTGATAATTTTATTTTCTTTTTGAATTATGTTTCTTTTGTCAGGTGTTATTTGACCTATGGTTGTTGTTGGAAAAATTAATGTTTTGCCTATGTGTGGCATGTCTACGCAGTTTGGTTTTTTGAAGCCTTATCTTTTTGTGTTTTTTTTTCAATAGGTTATTATGGTTTTTACCTGTTTAGACTATCTGTCTCACTGAACTTGTGTTACGACCCAGCTCAAGAGCCATAACATATGTGAAGACACGACACGGTGGAATCAGTTTAAAACCTTAAAAGGTATTTATTAAAGTTTTTGTCTAGGATTAGGTGAGTTTGTTGGCCCTGTTTGGAGCTCCGTAGCTCCCGAATGCACCGGACATCTCTCACCAAGCTGGACCCTCTGAAGTCTGTGGTCCAGGTTTACGTTCCACCTGTTATGCGCAAGTCTGTGGTCTGGTTCCCTCGACCACCGTCGTGTCCTCCGTGCACCTCTGCATTCAGCTCTGCATTCAGCTCTGCGTGTAGCACCACACAGCTCAGCTCTGGCCACACAGCTCAGCTCTGGCCACACAGCTCAGCTCTGGCCACACA